GCCATGGTCGTCAAAGGGTTAAGGAGAAAAGCTTTCAAGGAAAGAACCATCTGTACTAACTTAAAGTGAATTCGGTGTGTCAGGCTTTTTATGTTTGTATTTTTGTGTGTGTGTATTGTGTGGGTGTATGTGTGTGTGTGTGCAGATGAGTGTGTTTTACCGGAAATTCATAAATCCAGTTCCGCTGGACGTAGAGGACCTAGACATAAGTGGATTCATGCGGCAAGGTGGTTAGAAGGGCTGATAGGGAGCCACAGAATCAATAAATCCTGAGTCCGATTAGCCCTTCGTGTTGACAGTTGATTCTTGGTGCTCGAATAGGGTATGTGGAGTGTGAAGGGATCGTAGACGATCAGAAACCAGGACGGATAAAACTGATAAAGACCGATATTGCTCTCTGTAGTGTAAGAATCACTACATGACTTCATCTTTCCGTGTTACCAGTGCAGCTTCTCTACTTAACTAGATGAAGTAGGGTGTAATTGGATCGTAACAATGGGTTATAAAAATTGGAGGCAGTTAGTGCTGATGAATAAAGGCAAAGGTCGCGTAGGCTTCGCACAACGCGTGCTCTCGATGTACCTTTGACTGTTTAGTATGTTTTCTATGATCAGACGGGATGGTAGAGTAGACAAAAGGCAGCAATAGTAGCTATCAAAGAAATAATCTTCCACGACGAAAAAACCCTGGCTCGTTCAGTCAAGTTTCGCTCATAAATGGAAGAAACAACGTATCTCTTTTACAAAAAAATACGAGTAAAATGTATTGGTGGTACGCCTCTACCATATGAACTAATTCGCTTTCAGTCCCTGCCTCGAGGCTCATCAGCGATTGTCGGTTGCCAAAACAAAATAATGAAAAAGAAAACAACATCGAAAGAGCAATAACAAAGAAGTAAACAAATATGAAGAGAAAGACGAACAGGTGATAATAAATTTTAAAAAAAGCTGGTTAAAAAGAATACCGCCATGAAAATCTATCAGTAGTCTGGTGATCTTGGTGGATCGCTATTGTAAAGATCGGAAGCAACAAATCGAGATACCAGATTAATGAACTGAACTCCATCTGATAGCGAATACCAGTTGCACGGGAAATGGGCAGTTGAATCGCCTCTTATCAGCTTTGCTATATGCCTTGCTACACACGGAAATTTCTTTTCATCGGAAATGTATCATTTTCCCGAAGAGATAAGGGGCGGGTCAGCCGAGAATTCTGGCCTCTTTACAGGAAGGAGGGGAGCTCGGTTGAACGGGCAATCCATCTGGTATGGAATGGAGTTTACAAAACGCGGAACATTTTGCAGAGTTAAAAACAACAAAGTGAGGCCAACACAAGAGGCCATCACAACGAGTGCATTTTCAAACAATTCTAACAAGTACAAATACCCAAATAACAACAAATTTCACGACTGTTTTGGCTTTGATTCAATTATGGCTTTTTGGCTTTGGCTTTTCTTGATTATAGCCGATGTTCCGAAGAATTCCAATATAGTTTTCCCCATTCATCCCTAAGAATAGTTGAACTACAAAAATGCGTTTCGCAATTATTTCATGCTTCTTTCTTCTGATATTCTAAAAGGATTACGCCAAAAAAGCCCTAAGAATTCTACAAACCGAACTTTCGTTGTACAATGAATAAATCAAAATTAACACATTTCGCTGTCTAGGCGGTCCGCGTACGTACAGTGCATGAATTTCATGAAATTAGAGTAAAACAAATGGCAAGAATTCCGGTGGTGAAAGGGATCAGAAACAGGAAGAATCTGAGCTCATAGCTTCCCAATTCTGCGACGAAAAATAATGTCGTAAATCGTTTCAAATTGCTAACAGAGTATGGAGTCCTTCGAAACTTGTTACTCATTCACATTCTGCTTTTGTAGACTGGGTACAAAGACATCCACGTGGCGTAAAGAGCTGTTTCATCAAAATTCCCAGTCGAAAAACATGAACACTCCCGGTTGAGAAGAAAAAAATGCCCATTTGGGATTGATTCATGAGTTCGATGCTTTCTACGAATCAATATTCTCGGAATTTTTTGCTGAGATGCTGCTGAGCATGATCATTCCCATCAAAAAAATAGCTATAGGATGAAACTGACCTTATGAATAGCCTTGCTCCGGGTAACTGACAACATGCAGAGGGATCGCCCATGGAAAGCACCCTAAAGTTCATACATGTGTTGAAAGAGTCGTATTGTGAGGTGTAATCCCTACATGAAAGCCAAGCACGGAAAGTCGTGGAGTTCCGGGCTGATTTTGCACCATGGCAGTTTCAAGAGCCTTTTGATCAGGAGGATTTCCACCACGTCGATTCGTCATGTACCTGAACTTATAGGTGGTAAAGGTGTAGTGAAGGATACGATATCACAACAACGACTCGAAATTTCTACATATAAGCAGTACCAACCAAATGAAAGCTGTCTTGATGGCATTTTCATTAGCGGAAGTTCCACAAAGCATTGTTTGCACAGCCTGGGAAAGCGAAGGTTTAGGTAATTGGAGTAAAGATGAAATCGTTTTAATGAGCAACCTTAAGTCCTTTAGGAGCGACTGAAGTGAGCGCTTTCGAAATACCATCCGGGAAGTCATTTCGAGGGAAAGAACCTAGCGCAGGCCGTGAAACCAGCGACGTCTGAAACAGTCACAAGTTTAACATCTCCTGAACAGCACTCAGAGTTTATCACAACTGGATTTTTTCAATGAATTCAATTTGCAGGATAAAGAAGAATGGTTTTCCCGATTCTCAGTTAGGTCTTTCATTTCAAAACTACTCATCTTCCCAAAAATTTTAAGCAATTTTTGAAGTTGTAAGATTGAACGTTGTTCTGCTCTTACGTTCAACGCAAGCCAGGACATCTTCGAAGAAAATCAGTAGCAAAAAGCAGACTGGCATTTGAAACCTTTTCATGGCTTGAACATGATTGAAATCTGCGTCGCTAAGCGCCCTCAATTGTTACCTTGTCTGAAGGTACCTTACCCTCTTGCTATCACTTGCAGTTGTGTCTCAAATCTTCATCTCTGAACTTGGGCTCTCGATCCAACTTATTAACAACCTTGCACTTATAGGGATTGAACGCCGAGGTACCGTACTATATAGTGGGTCGGAGGAAAGTCTTATATACCTTGAAGTAACAGAGATGGACTAGGAATGGTTCTAAAGAGTTATGTCATTCTGGTTGTAAGTATCGGTCATAAGTAATATAAGAAAAGGAGGGTATCGATGATGAGGTTACCCGTTATCTGTGGACCCCACCCCGCTGTGCTGTCCAGAATATTTCACCCATGACGTGGGGCGAAGCATTGGATTCTGGTCTCCTAAGAGAGCCGACCTTCGACTCGACTTCTGACTGATAGTCACAAATTTCATTTTGACGGACACTTAGAAGCGATACCAATCGTCGCTATTGCGAGTCACTCCAGCGGAATCACTGATCAAGTGATAGAGCCCCAAACCGTTGGAGAGAGTGGTTAAACGAGTCATATATACCTATAAGTAGAAAACAAATGGTAGTAAACACCTGTTACGGAATGTCTCTGCAGACGGCTCTAAGCTCCGAAAAAAGACAACAAGCACTGCAAATCTTCCATCATGCAAAAATGACCTGAGCCAAGAGATTACAGACATTTTTAGAACTACTCTTGTTCTAAAAATGTCTGTAATCGCTTTTGCAAAGCCTTCGATTGAATTTCGCTCACCAAGTTGCACCATAGAATTCAAATGCATTCTATGGTGCAACTTGGTGAGCAAAATTCAATCGAAGGCTTTGCAAAAGTCAAAATACACAGAGTCCATGCTTTGGCTCCCATTTAAATGTTTTTCCAGACACGGAGCACTTAAATCCTTGCAGTTCCCTCCGAAGGTTATGCTGACTAGGAAAAACATAGCGAAAGCACAATTTGTTTTTTTCAGCGATATGAAAACAACTACTATGCTTAGCACTTTACAACCGCCTTGCTCTGGCAGTAGTATGTGCATTTAGAGCATGGACATAGAGTTGCTCTCACACTGCTGGTTTCCTCTCAAAAACTTGAAGGTTTCCCAAATGCAACGTCAATTCACATTTCAGTGGACTCCCATTCAGTTCTAGAGGGTAACAACCGATCAAAATGCGGAATGCCGTTTGCATCGCCATATTTGAGGAAAACCCGTAAGGACGATTCAATTCAATAGAGATTGATCAGAATTTGGGTGACATGTTATGGAGCAAGCAAAGGGACGAAGGGTAAAGTCTTAGGGCTTAATCACTGCGGTCTGTGGGATACGCCCACGCATCCGATTTCCATTTAGAATTGCAGTAGCGTGTTGAATGCATATGTGGCCTATACAATAACTTACGGTGGCCAGCCAGTGTACAAGTCAGAGCTTTTATCTTCCCAGACGACATCTGTACCAATTAAACGACCCAGGATAGATTGAAGGCTTGGTTGGCCTAGGTTTATACATACAATAACTTGCGATGGCCAGCCTATGTACGAGTCAGACGGAATTCAAACCCGTGACCATGCGTGTGTGAAGAGCGCCGCCTGACACTACGTCACCTCCGCTCCCCCACTACAGGTAAAAACTAAAGGATGAAATGGACAGTTCTGAATAACACCGAGCTTCGCACAACATTTTGCGTTCCAATGTTTTTCATAATATGAAGATGTTCAGGTCAGTAAAAACACCGGAGTGACCAGAAAGCATTGCTCGGTTCCTCGTTTTTTTTTTGAACGATATTCGTACAGACAGCATCGAACGGTGTGTTCGACTTTGCACGGTCCGTTGGTTTCTCGTTTCGCATCTCGTCAAGGTAATCAGTCGGTTCGGTCATTTCAATTTTCTATGATAACAAGAGGAGATATTGCCTGGTTAGAATCACTTCGGTTCCTCACTGTAACGTAGGTTCCGCTTCATTATGCATATCTTAGAGGCCTGATAAATATTTCAGACCACGAAGTGAATGGCCCGCTGTGAAGTGCACTAAATTTCTATTTTTCACAATGATTTTACGCCTGTTGCTTTTTTTTGGCAATAAAGTGTAATAGTGAACGATGATTAATTGTCCGCCAAACTTCTCTCATATCACTGGCATGCACGTGACATGCTGAAGAAGAAAAGATATAAGAAGTTGCCTTTATGTTTCTCAATTGCGGTAGCTTCCAGATGTGCTTGTAGAATGCTCCAAATCTTGCAAAATAACGTCCTGCACACATAGATCTCTAATTCTGCTCATCTCAACTGAATGGCGATGGAAAATGGGGACAATGACCTGCCAGGCTGCACCGGCCATGGCAGAAGATTCTAGTAGACCTACGATCTCAAGCATGGAAGCATATACTTGTGCAGAGAAGACACTGAACGGACTCAATACAAGCCCCTCAAGCCAATCCATAATTACATTTCCAAAGTCAACATTCTTTTTTGAGCATTTCGAAGCGATCTTAGCACAGTTCCTTGAACACCCTAAGATGGTCTTCAGCCTCAAACAAGACTAGAACCCGCACTTGTGCTTTCTAGTCACGCTGCTCTTTATCATTGATTAGCAATAACGAAAACCAAACCCAAGTGGCAACAGCGATTATTGACGATGCCTTTGATTTTACGTTAAAATTATCTCAAAACTTGTTTTCGTGAGAAGAAATATGGATTGCCAGTCGAAGGACAGAATAGATTCAACATCATTTGGTGGACAGTAAGTTGACATATTAGTTAATCAAGAAAATGGGAACTCAAATGCAACAGGTAGTGGTACCCCAGTAATGCAGTATAAGAACTCAACAAGTACTAACCACTGTTCTTTATGCTTTGAGAATAGTAATTGGGCAATCCATACAAACGGCGCTCTATCCTTTACCTTTTCCTCTGACACAATAGAACTGGCATGGGCTATAAATATTTGACATATAGGCACTTTTCGACCATGAAAAGAATTTGTCCTATCGCTACTTGGGGTCTTCAGACGGTGGCGAGACTTTTTTATCTCAAAAAAGCTCCGTAATAAAAGTCAGAAAAACTTGGGGAAGATAAGAGTCGACTTTCTTCCAGAACCTGATAAGGCAGCGTAAACATGATAGAGTATTCTATAAAAAGAACTGTGTACGGTAGCCCTTCCCGAATTCCCACCTTTTGGATCAATCTTTCACTACTTCTCAAAAACTAGCCCGCTTCCTATTAGACAAATGGATATTTTGCAAGTTATAGGCAAACACTTGACAATCAAAAACATCAAAAAGTTCTTCATGATCACTTCTGCATGATTTTGGCATGTTCTTATTAAAAATAAGATCGCCTACCTGAGATTAACATATGTACGTCATAACTATGATAGGAAACAATCAAAAGGCTGCTATAAGATTAGAAGGTAAGCGATTCACAACCCCTTAAATAGCTATGAGCATAATTATGTGTGGAGCTTCACTCACAATGAAATGTGGACTAGCAGCGGCCCTGACCAAATCGGGATGATTGTACCCGAGCGGAAGAGAAGAAATCTGTGTGTAGACGTCAAGTAGGGTGTTTCCTGGAAAGCTTTGTCAGGTTGTCGGCGAAAATCTCTTCGAATGATGGATGACTAACTCACCGTCGGCATCAACCATATAATTACCGAACGATTTTTCGAAGTCCGCGAACAGACGAACGGACGTCGTTTGCTGCAATGGGTGTTCTGAGAACGGTTCCATGCCATATCCTCGCGGTTTCTTTGGGGATTTATAGGAACAAGATGCTTTTTGAAGGGGATAAGTAAAAAAATTTCATAAGGTTTTATGTCACTTTAAGAAACTGAAGAATACGTGAAAGTGGACATGTTGCCCAAACCAGAGTATTCACCACCAAAAAAATTATAACGGCACAGGTATGAGTAACCGTTCCCATTTATGCTTCTCCTATTCACATCTACATTCGCTTGAGACGACTGCAAGGTCAGTGCAAAGGCTTCTGAACAAGGTACGTGTCACAAAAGTTGATTCATTTTCGAAAATCCATCCGAATAAATATTTATCGGTGCTAATCTCTGAAAATTTGCACACAAACCAGTACTGGCTTTGAGGGCCCCTTTTTGAATGTGCAAACATGGAGACTGTGTGATTGATGTTATTTTAAACAGAGATTACACTGGTCGCCTCGACGCCGACAGCGATTTTTCCCATTTCATGGCACTTCATTGTGGGTCGTTTCTATGAGTCAATCGATACTGGGAAACCACGCCAGATCGATGGAGGACCTTGGGTGTACTACTTCAAGATCAGAGATCAGGGATTTCCACAGTAGAGGACTGTTGGGAAGGAATTATGCAAAAGGGGTAATAAAACATCAAAACGAATGGAAACTCTTCCCATAAAATGCAAGAACTAACTCGTCTTTTTTCAACTTTATTTTATCTCATGGTTAATGGTTTATTCGAGCGCCCCCTCTCACCAAGCGTGTTTGTTTGTGCGCCGTGGGACTTAGCAGTTTTTCATATGATAATATTGTATCTATGTGGCATGCAAGGAAATAGCCACATTACAAAATCCTATTCTGGAGATTCCTCTTATTACGGAATGACATTGGATTCGTGGCGCTGAATGATTGACACAGCGTTCGGCAAAAAAGCCATTCTCATGCGCGAGAAATGACACATTTCACTCCCCTCGTTCTATGGTTGCTTCTTTCAGTTTGTTCTCTTTTTTGAATTTTCTTCTTTATTACGTAGTAGCTCCTTGCTTTTCTTTGTTTTTTGTTTATGGCAGAGGGAGGACTGATGCCGATTTTATGGCAAGAAGCCGAGAGAAAAGTGCACACGTGATACACCCGCTACGCCGATATATTCCATTTAGCTGGCAGTTGTCCAGTCGGGCTGGCCCAGGGGTACAGAAAATCGTGTGATCGTGGTGGAGTGTAATAGCACTTTGGAAACACAGGCGAGTGGCCACTAATTAAAAGCTGAGGCGGAAATGCACGTGCATCAGCCAACTTTTGGTGGGCTTCCCTCCTGGTGGGTGACATGGTGAAGGGCTGTGATTTCCCACCAGGTGGTAGGGTTTCGAAACCTGCCCTTTTGGATGCGATCTTCATGATCAACTCGCACTTCATCAACAAAACTTTGAGCTGAAGGCTTTTGCTTTTGAAATCGATATGTTTACCGGTAAAATTTTAAGTTCAAAGTTGAAATGAGTTTTGATGGCATAAACTTAAATTGCCAGTATTTGATAGAGAGATTACTGACATGCAAAGGATCCATCTTCTTTTTGATTTCTAGTGAAGCTGGTCCTGGCACTTTGGTCTTCATTGATGGCCCAGAAGGCTCACGCGTCGCAACGCTGGCTACATTTCGCACTGAAATTAGTTTACAACAATTGAGGAGTTCGAAATCCAATTTGAAGGGGCTTCTTTCTTTTTTGCTACTTGGAATCAAGTGAACATCGCAGATAAATCGTTTTAAAAGGTCAAGATGAATTTGAAAAGAGAGAAAATTGTGCATGGCCTTTTTGTGAACTTTTTTTTTGAAAAAAGATATATATTCGTTTTCGAGAGATATTATTTAGGTACCATGAATTGTGAGAAAAAACTCCTTTCAATTAGTAACTCATTTTATTGTATTTTGGGCATTTCTTAGCGAGAAAGCGGCGGAGTGTTCCCTGTTGCCCGAGGATTTGGCCCAATCTAAACAGAAGATCTCGTCTTTCACTAAACATTCTCACTAATAACGACGGTCGGTTGCTGTTCATTGCCATAGAAAGACTGATCAAAAACCGCAACAAAACTGATTAGCTCTTATCACAGAAAACAACGGCAGACGCTTTCTTCAGCCCAGGTTTTTCTAGTCGCTTTCTCTCGTAACTGTCAGTGAATGACGCCCGATATAATCAATTCATGGAAGTGCAGTAAAGGGAGAAAAGTGAAGAAATGTCAGTAATTTATGATAGGAATAGTGAAGAAAGAACGACTGACCAGGGAGGGCAAATTGCGCCTGGCGAGCGGCTCGAGAAAGCATAGCTTAATTGTGGCCACTGACGGGTTCCGCCCCCTCTTGCCAAACCACCTCCCCCTGAGACACCCCTTTTCCCCCTACTTCTCTGTGCTGTGACCGTTTCGATTCGGAGTTCGTACCATCTGATCTTTCACCATTGAACTTCTCACTGAAAACAAACAAAAGGAGCTAAAAATAAAAATCGTTGAGGCATACGTTCTAATTCTTAAATTTTTTGTGCACCTCCAAACGTCATCACTTTCCCAGTTGCAGGCAAAGAGACAGTGATCGAAACACAGCTTCCACTTCGGTTTTATTACTACTTTTTCACTAGTGCTCCATGTGAATACCCTCGTTTTAGCTCTCAACCGGGCTCAAAAGCATAGCTATGTGTACGTGAGGCGAAAACGGTAAATTCCTCCATGATTGGCACCAGTGGAGATTACACCTCACAAAAAGCCGCTGTAGAATGTGGAACAGCACAAGTGTTCCTAAGTATTAAGTTACCGATAAGCAGGACTAACCTCTCGGACACTTTTACTACCACACCAGAAGATAAAGTCATCTAAAATCGCTGACAACCTCGAGAAAGCCTACATTATTTGGAACAGCCTGACGAAGCAGTGCCCGGACCGCAGACTAGAGATATAGCTCTCACTTACTCACCTTTGTTGTTTTGCACTTTGAACAACACGGACGTCGTCTGTGGGTCAAACTTGTACCTCAAAAGTGACCATAAATGATGTAACGGAATTGAAAATGGCACATCTACGGCGAGAACTTGGTCACTTCATGCAACGAGTCCCAGCAACAGCAAAACGGAATATCTGTAATAAAAATGGTGGCCTTAATCAGCCACGGCGACTTTCCACTAAATTCTTAGGGCAACACTATAAGCTTGCCAAATGGAAGAGAAAAAGAGTTGGGACAAGCTTCATTCGTCGATGTCGCATCCTATTTTATGATTATTTTTGGATTTTTGTTTTTTGGTAACCGCTTGAAGGCTCCCATACCGCCAGGGATAAAATTAGGTGATGGAAGAAAATGAGAGGGAAGACGGTAGCTAGCTTCTCCAGATTGACTTTCTTCATTACATTATGGTGCGGTCAAACCGCGGCGTGGAACCTACACGGTCCCACTTCGCGGTTTGACCAACCGGTCCGAAATATGGAAGAATATGATGAGATCCCTTACATATTTCTCAAGAATGCCGCCCTTGGTCTCGCTAGTCCACTTAATTTGCTTTTCAACAGATTCCTGTTGTTGGGCGAGTGTCCTGATATTTGGAGAGTTGGACTAGTCAGACCTGTTCATATAAAAGGCCCTCGAAATTTACTTGAGAACAACCGACCTATTTGTCTTACCTGTTGCACCAGCAAAGTCATGGAAAGATTACTGTGTTCCCACATCACTGCCTACCTAGAAGAATATAATCTGCTGCATCCTGCCCAGCACGGATTCCTCAGTAAACGCTCCACGGTTAGCCTTACTTTCAACTTTAGCTCGCTGGCATAGAGAGCTTGATA